TTTTGCTATCTTTTTACGACTCCATCTCAATGTCTGTGATTAATGAATAATGAAATGAAAGCTATTTATTCACTACTACTATGAAGCCATCAAAAGAAAAAATAATAATTACAATTTTATATACAGTATTATTATATATACTCTATATATCTTTTAAGTATATAAATTAAATATATAAATGACTAGAACTAACATTTATTTCAATGTATTCTCATTGTATGGTAAACATATCAAAATATTGATTTCATTCAAAAACTCTTTATTTTTATTACTTATTTGTTTGACACAAGAATAGCTCTAAAGCTATAATATTCTCATTTGTTATAAATTATTAATCATTTTATACGAAAATCAAACATTCATTATGGTTTATATTCTGTGAATAGCATTCTGTATGTTGTGTTGATGTCTATCACTAGAAATGCATGGATTAAACGACATGTAAAATATTAATATGTGATAAATGTGTTTATTTAATCGTACTTTGAATCTAGAATTTGAAACATTTTCCAACATTTTTTGGTCAAACAATAAATCATTGTGCTTTTAGAGTAGAAATACAACTCAAATTCCTATACATAATTCAATTCAAAACTGGCAAACATCATATTAATCTTTATAACATTTTTGGTGTTATTTATACTTTTATAACATTTACAAAATTACAGTAAATAATACAACACTACATAATTATCGTCAATATTGAAACAAAAACTTCTAGGTTGATAACATGTCTAATCAGTATATTTATTACTGTTTTTAGTTAAATGTCAAACACACAGCATGCATTAAAGTTTTCACAATGAATTGAACTATTTATGAAAAAATAAACTGAAAATAGAAATGTTGTGAATAATACAAATGTTTCACTTAATAACATGCACTGTATTTTCAAAGCTAACGACAATCTTGAATACAATAAGTACAAATTGCTGTCTCTATAACTAATGCAAAATAATAGAATATTCTTTTGTTATAAATTATTTAAAACTAAATTCACTATAATGTTGAATACGAATTCTGTAAATAATAATGATGATCAATTAATTTAGCATAACATAATAAAATTGTTTATTTATTTGAAAATTTTGTAAACTTTGTTTTTATAGTAATTAATAACAAAATCTTTAAAATAATTAATTGGAGTCTCATTAGAAATACCAACATTTGAAATGTGCACACATTTGAATAGTCTTTAAGATTTACATAAACTTTAATGAATATCTTTAGGAAGGAATGGTTACAACAAATTAATGATTGTTTCAAATACTTAAGAATCGCGTTCTTCCCAAATATAAAGTAATTATTTTAATTATCTGTCACTCACTCTTGTTTCTACATTTCCTTTATGTATGATTAGATTTGTGTGAAATAAGTCTCACATTCTATCAATAAATCTTTATTTTACAAATAATAAAAAATAAAATTAAAATATATGAAACATTTAAACATATTTTTCAATTTCTTTTGTGATTTATCATTAGTTGTATTGAATTATAAAATGAAATGTTATGTTTCTCGTAGGAAATACTTAATAGCACTTCAAATATCTTTATTTTTATTATTTTTTCTCATTAAAAGTAAAACATAATCAGATTTTCGTATTAATTAAGTTTATGGAAAGAGCAAAAGAATATCATAATATTTTTATAAGTCATTTGTGAGCAAAATATTAAACCAAATCTCTTAAAATAAATTATCTTTGTTATATTCTATCATAAATAAGTAATTCCGTTAAAGCTTAGTCAAACGTTTTTATAATTTAAATATTAGTAAAATATTTTATAATTTAAGTCACTTTTAATCTAAACGTTACATGGAAACACCTACACCAAAAGAATTTCAAATAATGGTTGTGTTAATAAAAATCTGTTTTTGTCAATAATGTTAAGAAAATCGCATTTATTATAAGCAAAGCCCTGAAACTTACGTAAATGTGTTTATATATAGAGTTTATTCGTTAGATCTCATTACAGTACCCTAACTCTCATTAAATACACTCCGGCCCTACACTATGTTCTAAGCGCACAGTATATAACATAATGTAATACTTATGTTTAACAACAAAAACTAGAGTAAACCGTATTCCAGTAGCCTTTGTAGACTACCAGTACAGTATCTTTGCAAAATATTATGTGAACCATTATATTAAACTAATACAACCATAAAAGCAAATGCCGTTAACTTTACGAACATTATTGCCATTTCTTTTATTCACATCTCTTTTATACTTTTAATTAAATATTTGGATAAAAATCGTTTTGTAACTTATTTGACATCTATTAATAAATTATAAAAATAGAGTTCACTTTTATACAAACCTTTTTTTACTTCTTTTTATAAATAAACTAAAATATTAAATGCTTGAAATACAGTACTTCTCTAGTGATTAATGAATAATATTAATGACAAACTTCTCAGACTCTTAGAGAATTAGTTTATATTTCTTGAGACTTCAATTATGTTTAGATATAAGAAATGTCAAAACAGTTCCGAGAAATTACCCCCAAAATAATCCATATCTATTTTATTGTTTTTTACACACATCGTTACATACATAAAGTGTATATCAAATGACTCTTTACTTAAATGTTACAAATAAGTGAATCAAAAATTGTTTATTTTCTAAATTCTCTATTTTATTAGTCTTTTAACGAATTAAATTTTTCTTATATTTTCAGTGTTGATGTCGTGTGCCTTATTTTAAACATATAAATATAGTAAAAAAGTTTGAATTGACAAAGGGTACAAATATATTGAAATGATTTGCCAAACAAATGTTATCAAACAAGACTACAGACACGAAAGTTGGGTAAAACAAACGACTTGTGACCTATTATTTGTTAATTAGTTTTTTAGTTTTGTTTCAATTAATGAATTTTTATGAATAATGAATAAAAATAGTGTTCAGTAATGTTTGCAGCCTTTTTAAGCATAACTTTTTTGTTATTTACTGTCAAAACAGTATTTGGTGTTTCAATGAGATAAGATATACCGTACACTCAACACTAGTTTTTAATTAATACATTTATGAAAGAGTTTGTCAAAAGCTCGCAAAAATAAAATATGAAGCAAAATAATTGAAAATAAATGAGTATAAAGTTATAAATATATTTATATCATTAGATATTAAATAAATGAAATAAAGTATAAGGAAATGCAGTAATGAATGGATTCAATACTAAATAAATGTATGAAACCTGTCATTAACTAAATGAGCTGTATTTCCGATATTTCATATAAAAGTAAATTTATTATCGACCATGGTAACAAAATATATTATACTTATAAATATATTAAACTTATAATTATTTTTATTGTATTTAATATATTTATTATTTAATGTATTTGTCATTGAAAATAGTTTGTCTATTAATTCTACTCCATAGACCAATTAAATAATATTTATTAGCAAACTTTGTTATACACACATTAAAAATATTTATAGCTTATTTTGACAAACTTTCTATTTATTTATAATCTCAATGATAACAGTGTTACTGTAACTCTGTTTAATTATTTAACAAAAACTTAATTGAAAACAATATACGAAAGTTTGAGCACAAATTCTGTATCCTATATAATGACAATAGCGCTACTGTTTGATATTCCCATGTATATTTATTTAGAGTAATTCATTCACCTTTTATATAAAATACATTTTGTTAATTAAAACATTAATGAGTGTTTATTATTTAAGACCAATTACTATTGGTAGCTCAATGCTATAATTAGAGATAAGTTTTCCAATTATATGATTTCATTCAAACCTAATTCTTATAAATAATTTCTATAGGAATTATCATATCATATGATTTATATTTAAGAAGTACTTTGTAGTGAAGAGACCAGGTCAACATATACTATACAACCCATGTATTTTTCATTATACAATTTTCAAAACCAATACGGATTTCAGATGAAAAGGTTTTATTAAATTAAACTTTTTATTATGAAAATCAAAATTAGGTATTTCTATATATTCCCCTAATTTAACAACCCATGTATTTTTCATTATACAATTTTCAAAACCAATACGGATTTCAGATGAAAAGGTTTTATTAAATTAAACTTTTTATTATGAAAATCAAAATTAGGTATTTCTATATATTCCCCTAATTTTTCTTATAATTTACATTGAGTAAAAATGATAAAAATTCAAGTAATTTCTATGATTTTCATTTTCAATTTAGCTAGGTCAACGAATAGCCTTCACAAATCGCCACTTTTAATATTTTAAGTTTATCTAACTCTCGATATAATAACACCACTTAAATGATAACAGATGTGAGCCTGAGGCTTTTGATATTTAAATGCCCTGATCGGTGGTGACCCATCACTGATAATATTTAAGATTACATTCAATACACTGCAAGTTATGTAACATTTTTTGGGGGGATTTTAGACATACGTAACGTTATTCAGGAATTCAGTGTATGTATGGCTCAACACAGGCCTACACTTGCATTCAGTGCTCGCTTCACATGAATGCCATTCATATTCAACAAAGTTTTGCATTTAATATCAATTAGCGATTAATTTAAATAATTTGCAATACATTGGCGGATATATCACTAAAATGATTAATCATGACAAATGCGTGAAATAGTGTTGATTACCATTAACGGGTGTTTGGGTGTACTCTGTGTGTGAAATGCATTTTGACATCATTTCCATAATAAACACCACTTTTTCCATACATTTCACGCATATTATTGTTATGAATATTATTGTCATTTAAATCAATGTTTTCGTCAAATCAATAGTGGTTTCAGTTGTTAAGCGATTCATGATATCTTCGGTCACTATAGGGATCAGTATCTCATCACTCGTTTGCCATTCAATTGCAGGTAAACAAGCAATGATTCATTGGATCAGACATTGATTTTGACATCACTTTCATTCAAACCATCACTTGTTTCAGTCCCGAAGAAGTGGAAGAAGTAGTTGCTATCAATCGTTGAGACACCGATCGGTTGGTGCCGAAGAAGTGGACAATAATGGCTGAAAGGCAGCCATTGTTTCGGAAGTTCGCGAAGATCTTCAGCCCAAGCAATGGCAGCAATCATGTGATGAGTGCTTCAGTGCGGGAACAGATCGACACGACGGCCGCTTTGGACTCATTCAGAACCCATTGGTCGCAGGCCTTCGACACGATGTCCAGGAAAGTGATGAACGAGATCACTGTGGATGACATCTCGTCGGTGGTCAACCATATCGACCAAATGCTGACTCTATTGCTTCAGGAGAACGACAACATGTGTGTCAGTCCGCGACCACAAGCGTCCGATTCGGCCGAACACGTAATGAGTCCGCTCTTAGACTATCTGATGATGGAATCAGTTCTGGAGAAAGTGCTGAACTGGTCTGAGATGTGCGGCAAGTGGTACGAAGTGATGACTTTGGAACAGTTGAAGTTCTATGAGATGCTGGTCTCCCAGGTCTGCCACACGTCAGCCCTCTATCAGCAACAGCTCATACGCCCACTTCTGGGCCTATTGTGTCGCTTTGTGGACACCGACTGTCACTTAGAGGTGGAGAAGCGACTCGTCGTACTTCTCAACTCACTGTTCGTGTCGTTGAGTCAAAACCTAAACCTCTTGGAGCTGTTCTTCCTGTCGGAGCCACAGATCGCTAGTCATATGGAAACGAAATTCCTTATCTTTTCTCTTCTCATTCCGTACGTACATAAGGACGGGCCGGTCGGCCAACAGGCCAGGGATGCCATACTCCTGTGTATGGCATTCACGCGTCGCAGCGAACTAATGGGCAAATACGTGGCCGAAGAGACCGACTTTTGTCCGGTTTTGGCCACAGGTTTAAGCGGTTTATATTCATCACTACCTCGAAGACTGTTGAGCCACTCAATAGTGTCCGACGACTGGCATCAGGTCACCGGCGAAGACATCCGCGAGAATCCCGAACTCGAAGTGTTTCTCAATTCGTTGGAGTTCTGCAACGCTGTCGCACAGATCGCTCACCCCTTCATCCAAAAGCAATTACTTCAGTACATATACAATGGTTTTCTGGTTCCTGTGATCGCACCGGCATTACATCAGGTATGCAACCGGTCTTACAGTTATTATACATATATTATGCCTTAAATCTCGTAATAATTAGAGACAAAGTTGTTGAGAAAAAAAGGTATTGAAAAGTGACAAAAGAGATAATGTAATTGTTTTTTGTGTCCGTTTGTGTCGCTTATATATGTATGCAATGATCAGGAAGTGGTTGGCGTTCCCATTATCGTATTGGAAAAGTTGTCCAGATATTCGGTTTGTATTCAAATACCGTTTATGTATAGCTATTGCATGATTTGCACGTCTTTTACTTCATAATTCACTTTTTGGTCTTTGGTTTTATCTCAATAACAATCTTAAAAATAAGTTATTAATTGGATAACAAATACTTGAATGACTTTCTAATTATATTTATTGAATGACTACATTATTAACAATTATTAATACCTTAATATATTGAAGTTATTTTGTAAAATTAATTGATTTTATGACTGAATTGTAAACACAGAATACTTTAGAGGAAATCATAGCGACCACCGCTTACTTCGATCTCTTCATTCGCACAATTTCTGAACCAAATCTGTTGAAAGTATTTTTAAAATTCATTTGCGTTGAGAAATACGAAGAACAACGGATTCTCAACACTTTAATCACAAGAATTAGCGCCAATTCTAAGGTATTTTCAAGCGATTCACACACAAGAAGTTTATAAATACATTAATTGTATGATATATTCAGTTAAGTTTAGTGACTTTGGTTTTGTTTCGCTCGTTGTTGGACCTGAACTGTGAAGACGTCTTATTAGAGTTGGTTTTCAAGTGTGTATTCAATAGATATTTATCATGATATTTGTCTAAACTTTATTTGACTCCCATTTGATGGCAAACATTCAGATACTTAACGTCCGGAAAGCATATAATCGGCGGAAAGCAGCACCAAATGCAGCGAATTAACGATTCTAATTACCTGAACGAATCGGCCCAACATTTCCTAACACTGATCCCAAAGCATTGTCTCATATCTCATGTGAATTACATGAACCTAAACGCCAAAACAGACGGCTATGTCTTCGTGGACAACAGTGACTCCCATTCGCACCACAGTAACGACGATAGCATAGACCGCAGCTCAACGCCCACACAAGAACTGCAATATATTTTGTTTAATTACTTGGATTACCTGAACGATGCAAACGCCGTTATATCGAAGTCCATACGCGCCACCCGTTCCTGGAGTTGTAGATACGATGCCAGTAGTCATAAAAGTGCTAATTATTCTGTGAATACAACTGTAGATAACAATACAAATGCAAACAACGTTTGTGCCAATTATAGTATCAATCATAACAACCATTCAGTGCCTCATTCTATCACTTCTAATGGAAATCAATCCGAAGATGAAGATGAAGACGAAGACTGCAGTTCACCCATCGGTCCGTTTCTGGAGATAATTATATCGAGACTGGAAGCCATGTGTGAGAATGATATCTATACTAACCTTCAGTTGACTGGTTTGGTGTCCCGTTTGGCGACATACCCGCAGCCACTCCTCCGCTCTTATCTCCTCAACTCTTCGCTTGTCTTCCAAAAAGGTGTCAAACCCTTGACAACACTTCTCAACGAATTACGCAAAAAATTGGATCTATTGTCGGATCAAATCGAGAATTTCGATGAATTGCTTCGAAATGCCCGACAATTTCTGTTCGCACGAGAGAACAGAATCTTAAATAAAAAGCAAAGTATTTGCTCTCAAATGGACAATAGATTCCCTTATAATTCGAGACCCAATCGAAGTAATAGTATCACCAGTTTGTCGTCCATTAGATCAGAGACTGGAACCGAAGGTACGATCAGATTGTGTGGAAAATCATTTTCTAAACAATTTATATATTTAATAGCTTTAAAGAAAGGATTCAATGGCCTTAAAAGCCTGTTCCGTGCGGCTACTACTCCAAGAAGTATGCGTAGAAGCAGTTCCATGTCTGTGTCCCAGACTCCTACTCCCCCGCCTATTCTCGAGTCAGTGTCTGGCGGCCAGGGATACAGGTTTGAGACGATTATTGCTCGAGTTTGTAAACAAATATTAATGACTTTTAAAAACTGACAGATATTTCAAACCATTGGATTCACCGGAACAGGGATTGGATGCCAACGATGCGGAAGAGAACGAAAGGATACAGAAGATAGTGTTGGCGTTCATTGTGTTCGAAGAGTTTGTCCGCGAATTATCTGCCATTTCTTACGAACACTTTACTCTCGAGTATTCAGAGCCGCCTTCAGCTCAAAGCGAATCCGAACTCAAACCCAATTAGAGTTCAGACAAACAAATAAAGACTTTCTTTGATTCGTGCCAATCATTACACGTTTTAGTTATTATTTTCACAATTTATTGTTTTAGTTATGTTTTTGTTGGCTTTAGAGTCAGTTTTACGACTAATTGATCGCTCAAATCTTGATAAAAACCTATTTTAATTAGTTTTAATTACTCGATTTATTATTTAATCAGTTTTTCATAATTTATAAATATATGAAACGAAATGTAATTATTTGTCATATTTTGGTTGAAGTGAAACCAAAAGGTGAACAAATTGTTGAACAAAAAGCTATATGTTTGTGATGAGAGTTATGGACAAAAATTTTTACCAATACTGTAGTTAGCACTGAAACTGATGGAAAGTATTATTAAATTATTTACAGTATATATTTAACGATTGTTTAAAGATTTTTTCAATGACTGTGCAATTCATATACAGATTTTGAATTATTTATAGTTATTATTTATATTAACTTATAAAAAACAAAGATTTAAATTATATATATATTTTAGTGTTTAAACCAATTTTTTGTAAACATTTTCTAAATTAAATTCTAAACTAAAGTATAAAACAAATTATAAACTTAACATGTGTTTGCTATTAAATACTCGGTATTTATCTTTCTGTTCCCCATTAGGGCTGTCCTTAAGGTATGTACTGAACGCGATTCCGATGAACAAAATCCAACCGATTTGCGTGTTTTGTCTGAATTTACGCCAACAGTCACCGGAATCGTTGATATTTAGCGTAAATATCTGATGACATAAATTGGCGGCAGTTATGCCAACCGCTGTATAGTAGGGCCAACACTGACCCGTATTAACGCCAGTCATCACAAGACTAGAGCACATGAGGGCAGAGAAGCCGGACAACCATTGCTTAGTATTATCACCGAATTTAATGGCCGTCGACTTGAGACCAATCATGAGGTCATCGGCTTTGTCCTGATGGGCGTAAATGGTGTCGTAAATCAATGTCCAACAAATGCCCGACACATATAGGGGTAGGACTGCCGTCCAGTCGATGACACCCTCGCACACCACACACCAGCCCAGAAGTGCCCCCCAATTGAAGGTCATCCCGAGCACCAGTTGCGGCCAATGACTGAACCGTTTGATCAGTGGGTAAACAGTGACCAGCGCTAGACTACTGGCGCCCAATGCGATGCTCGTGAGGTCGAACTGCGTGAGTATGAGGAGTCCGGTGCCGGACAGTCCGCCCAAAAGCATCACCGCATCCGTTGTGCTCAACTGATCTGAAGCGAGGGGTCGGCTCTTCGTGCGCTCCACCCGTCGGTCAAAGTCTTTGTCCCACATGTCGTTGACAACACAACCGGCGCCTCTCATCACAACTGATCCCACGCCGAAGAGGGCTAATGTGGTGAGCGATGGCACGTGTGAGGCCTCAGTCGCCAACGATATGCTCCAGAATGAGGGCCACATCAGAAGCCAAGCGCCCGATGGCTTATCCAATCGCATGAGTCGTGCGAACGGTTCCACAGATGATGGCAGCGATGAGACACATCTCTCGGGCAGTGATCGCTTGGTTGCGGCCGTTGTGGCCATCACTCGCACACATCGACCACTCATTATCTTCTCATGTCTTGAGCACAGGTGTGAAAGGAGACACAGATTGAGTCGTTTGTTGAGTAATAGCTTT